TTTAAAAAATAGCTTTATTAAATTATATAATAAACGTAAACATTAATTCACATTTTGTAATCAAAAGACTTCATCTTGCAGTTAAATATTTTATAATTAAAATATCGTTTTTCCAATTGACTTTAAATTTCAATTTTCAGCGAAGTTGAAATTTTTCCAATTTCCATACAAGAATTTATGTGTATTCCAATCAAAGTTGGAGGTTCAAACGATACCGTTTGAAACTCGGCAATTTTTACTCGACACGAATTCTTTTCCTACCTGTAGTTTACAAACAATTTAAAATTCGTGGTAGTGGAATGGCGCTGCATACGACGCAATATCGTTGCACGACTATTTGGTGACGTTGCACGAAATACAGTTTCACGAAATTTCGAAAATAATTCGCACGCGTGGTTCAAAGAAAATCAGAGTAATTACTTCAATTCCACGACGCTTCGCTCGCAACGTAACTTTCCTCGGTGCCGGATCAAAGGTATTAACTTTTCATCTCGGCGAATGCTCGTGAAATTAATTATTCAAGAACAACTAATCGAAATTTCGACCAGTTCATTGTCTCTGGGTTATTCTTTAAATGTACATTTCCATTCCATTTAGAACCGATTTCTTCTTTCTCCTAAAAGGGTTGCCGAATTTGGAGGGTGATATTCGATAAAATTGAATACCTCTGCTTTCCACTGGCCAGTAGGTAGAACGAGACACTGATTTTTCCTGTGAAATATTAAAAAATGGTAAAATAGGACCTGTTTTAAAATTTGAAAGGAATCTCTTTTAATTGCCATTTTAATTAAAAAAAATTTCATATGAATATAAATATGAGTATGAATACGAATACGAGTCTGAATATAAATCGGGATAATAAAAATTAATTAGTAATTTAGAAAAAGAACCAGAAGTGCGAGTTAAAGTATTTCACTAAATTAATACGATACTAAAATTATGAATGAAAATATTATTTATTACTTGAATATTAATTTAATAAGTATTTAATATTCAATTTATTTGACATATATATATAATTTCCTAAATATATAAATTTATTATTTCCCTATTTCCCTCTCTCTCTCTTTCTGTATATGTATCTTTTATTTTAATTAATTTATTCGAATTTGAAACTCGAAGGTGTTTTAAAAAACTACCAAGGACTTAAAATTCCTGTTTTATCGTGACCTATCGCTTCATTTTCCTTCAATTTAGTGGTATTGGCTTTTTTAAAAGTCATATCACGCGAGTCTTCGATATTTCACTGGATTCACGCTACATCGTGTTTAATCCAAGTTATAAATAGTGAACCACAGAGCTACGAACTTCGATACTTCTATTTTGGACACACGAATATTCCTTCGATACATGGAGATTATGTAAATACGAATTCTCATCCTGTTCGCTTCACTTCTATTCGATTTACAAAATCATGGCGTTTACAGACCTCTCTGACTTGACCAGTGATCTATACATTGGGATTGATCATATTCGACGATAAAATAACAATTCAATGAACCGTATGTTTGCTTTCACGTATGGTACCATAACTCTTTACCATTTATTTTCTCTTAGATATCAAACGTCAAAAATTTGTCAATAATATTCGTTAATTAAATAATCTCGAATAAAAATACTCGAAAGAAAAAGATATAAATTTAAAGCTTTTTAAATGTTTGTCTGTTATTTTATGTTATATTAAATATATATATTTGATACATGTATATTGATCGAAATGAAACGAAACATAGTATGATAATACTGATACAGTAATACTATCAAATTCGAGGAGACAATATTTCCAGATTATACCGAAAATGGATTTGAAGTAAACAATTCACTCGTAAATAATATTCAATTATTTGAATATTATATTTGAAATATTACATACGTATAAATCTGTATCAATAACGTACGAAATATAAAATACGTACTGAATTTAGATAAATATTCATGGATATCGTATTGTTCGTTTACATTTTTAATTTAGAACAAACTTTTAATTCATTATTTGCATCAGTGCACTGCAGTTTGAGGACAGATGCACTTTATGGTAAAATATATATATATTTTAAAACAATCAACGTCACGGACTGTCTTCGACATTAATAATGCAACCTAAAAGTGACACGCGACACATGATAATAGAAACACTGAATGCAAGAGATTACGTTGACATAGTGATTATGGTGCCATAATTAAGAATTTCGAACATGATAATTCCAAATAAGGATAAAGACAAACAAAACTTGGATTGCAATGATTCGTAACATTTTGGTATCCTTTATTTTGAATTTTTCTTAAATATTTCTGTGCTACGGTATTAACAAATGAAAACGTGAATTTTTAAATCCCTTAATTCCAGTGATTTAAATTTATATATGGAAATATAAAAAGCTGATTGTATCTATCGTATACATTTTCTATATTTTCAAGTGGGTAAAAAATATAAAGTTGTTTCCATTAATTCCAGCGAAATTTCGCGTGGAAAAACTGTGTACCATGACAAACCTGTAGAAAAGCAAATCGGCGAATTGCGAGCGCGTTTGCAAGCCGTGAGAATTTAATACGCTTTGCAGAAATTTACACGGTGCGCACGATTTAACGCTGCAATAACAAATATATATGTAATTTCGTAGTACGTTACAATGTGATTACAGTACTCTTATCGATATACGCGATTTCGCAACGAGGTAACATATCCACCATATTGTCTTGTAACAGGGATATTAAAAGAACAAAAGTTGCAGTAACTATTTCAATCGTGCTAAAAGTAATTATTTCATATCGCTAAAATTATTAAGAATTTTATTAAAACATGGGGAACAAATTTTTGTGAGTAATAAAATTTCACAACCGGTGTATTGATACTTATATTAAAAAATTGCAAAAATTGATTTGAGATAGAGCTCAATTGTTAAATTCGATTGTTAAACGTTAATACAGAATAAAAAGATTGTTTCATAATTGATAAAGTATCAGAGGATCTTCAAGCTTAAAATATTAAATCTCCCTGTTTTAAATAAAATTTCAAAATCATCTTCGATCTTTTTTACCTACAACTTTATAGATACTATTTTACTATAGGACATTAAAACCAATTCGAGGATATCAATGATTATTTAATCATTATAATGATTGAAAAATATCTGTCATAACCATAATATAAATTACAAAATATAATTACAGGATATAATTCTTCGACAGAAAAATTGGTAATTAAAAAATATGGTATACGTATTATTAAAATTGTTCGCGTTTAAGAAATTCGGAAAACAATTTTGTTTTTATATTAAAGAATAAGAAATAATTGAAATTAAATTTTCTGTTTCAGTGACGGTCCAGGCAGACAGCATGGGGGTCATACCGCGAAAATTCACAAGGTTCCTGATATCGTCTGAGGCCGAGAGCGAAGATGACATGGCAGAAACTGGCGTATTCGATCTTCAGGACGAGTTGTTGACGAGATACTCTGAAATTTGTCCGAATGCCGTGGTGGAGACCTCGATGGTGCCCAAAGAGGAGATATCAGTGGCCTGGACCAGCCCTTCCGAAGGTAGCGGTTGCATATTTATCAGGTGAAGGGATATTTTAATAACAAGCATGAAAACTGAAATGTACCGTTGCATGAGAAGCGATAATAGTAATAAATTCCGACTGTATCGGTAAATCTCCACCGTTTCCCCTTTACCGTTCCTCTACGTACTCTGTAATTTATCGAAATTTGTTGGTAATCAATGTAGGCGATGATTTAATCGAAAATTATTTGCAGTTAACGCGAGAGTGTTTTGTGCATGCAGTATCATTAATTCCAGTAATACTGCGAAAGGAATATCGTCAACAACTTCGTGATAAACGCATAATTTTGTAAATTGTTAATAATAACACAAAAAGGTAAAACATAAAAAAATACAAAAAATTTACGAACAGATGAATAAACTTCGAAATTGCTGCCTAATCTGTCCCAAATTTATTCAACGCAATTTGCATCAATGGATTGTGGACACTAACACATAACTATTAATTCCTTGCTTTCTTACAGCTCGTAAAAATAACTCCCTTTCAAATTTTTCTACCTATATTCTATTTTCTTTCCATAAATAAAAAATTCTAACGAATAATTGATAATAATCCATTATCCTGTCTTATTTAACACGTTAAACGCCATGCCAGTGTTACCTGCCGTTCCATTCACGCCAATTGTTAGCTGTCATGCGGGCCCTTCGGGGCCGTAGGTCCCTAGAGACTGGCGTGACGTTTAACGTGTTAACACGTTAAGTGTCCAACCCGTTTTGCTTGTCGTTCCGTTCAATCCCAGACTCGGCCGTTAAGTGGGTCAGTGGCGGCGGTACTGTACCAATTGTTATAATAGGAATTCCCAAACGTTAGATCTAAAAATGGCGAAGAATTTAACACCAAAAGTTAGCACCTTTTGATCCTAGTCTGGACCGATCCCCGAGGACCGACTGGGCCCGAATGGAAAGTCTAGCGTCGGTTCCTGGGAACCAATATGGCGCTTAACGTGTTAATCACCTCATCAGCTACCCCAATGCCTGTTACGCCTATGTACTTATCTGCACTCCACTCAGCGTTAATAACACGTGCAAAACAGTACCTCGCTTCACCACAATCACAATGTCTCCTCGCTTCACGATATTTGCTTGCGCTCCCAAAAATCCATAATAATGGTGTTGCGTGTTTTCATTCCTCGTTCGATAATATTCAAAACGAGCTCCCTCCCGTTTCACTCAGCGTCTCGAATTAATGCTATCTCGGGTACGTGGACCCGGTAACACGTGTTCTTCCACTTGTTTTTCTCACAGGGCGACGATATTGGAGACGCCGGATACATGGTACATGGATGATCCGAACTTAGTGCTAAAGATATGTCAAGACTCGAAAGCCGAGGCGGACGACCAGGGACCGGTTCTGGAGGACTGCTGTGCCTGCGACGAGGCGAAGTACGAAGTTACTTTCGAGGGACTTTGGTCTAGGAATACTCACCCCAAGGTACGTGAGAGCTCGTCAAATAAAATCGACAAATAGAAACGCATAGAGCGGCCATCGATCCATCCTGTGTAACCCGTCGACGTCTCCTCGAAGAGCAACTCCATACAGAAACGAAGAGGTCGCGTCCATGCTTTCTATTCCAATCTCCTGTTTCGTTAAACTTTCCTTTATTGAAACTGGAACAGGCTGGCTCGCGTTATACGATCGGGATGAGCTTCTTAGATTTCATTCCTGGTCGACAGAGGAATTATTTTCTTCGCGATACGAAGAGCGATTGGGCAATAGGCTGTTATATTTTTCTTCGAATATTAATATAGTATTGACAGAGAAAGCACGACGAGAAGCTTCGATTTCACTGTTTCGGGATGTTTAAATTTACTTTCACGGACAGATTGAAATTGAGAGAATAACGAAGGGAATATTTACTCATACGTGGCTTTTATGTACACACACAGTGGCTGCCAAAAGTTTTTCGTTACCGTAGTTCCCTTTCAGTTTCGTTTCTACTTTAATGGAATTTTTGTAAGAATTCGGTAACATTGTATTTTATGGATTAATAAAATAATAAATATCGTAATTGTATAACGTAGATCTGTATTCTCACGCATTGCGTATTTCCAATATGTGATAAAATTGTTCTTTGGCTGGGAAATTTTGATAGCCACTGTATGCTAATTAACCCTTTGGCCTATAACCACGTGTGAGACTCGTGGCAGGTTTTCGAACCAAAACTGATTTCCACGAGCCTGGCTCGTGGTACATTGGGCGGGTCGAAACTGACTATCACGGGCCTGACTCGTGGTACGTCGGCTGGGCTAAATAATCATCACATGTCACGTCCATGGTTTGTTGATGTTCCCTACATAAGTTATGTGACTGATACAACTTAAGACAGATTTGACGAACCGTAGAATGGCTCGAAGGCTCGGTAATTCTGTTTACGTTTTGAGACCACACTGTTGAATCTTAAGTAGTAGGGCAAGGTATTAATGCAGAAGTTAAAATGTACCATCAAAAGCTCGTGTAATTGCATCTGTGACATTAGTTTGAAAAACTCAATTGCGGATTAATATTAATATAGTATAATATAATATAAAATATCAAGTAGATAGTATAAAATTTATTCTCGACTAGGAATTAATTTTAAACGAAAGAATACCGTAGTAGTATAACGAAAAGAAATCGGTGGATGTATAAAGGGTATCGAAACAGCTGAAAGTTCGAAAACTGAATTATTTCAATTCCAGTTCGAATTCTTGATGCTGAATAAGGAGACAGGGGATGCTATTTTATTGATATCGGCTTCGCGGGTGGAATCGAGTTACTTTACAGTGTGAAAATGGGTCGGAAGAAAGCTCGACGAAACTTTCTTCTAAGCTGGAATGGTGTGTAAGCTCGATTGTGTAACAATGTTATAGAGAAATGTTCGCGAGGGATACAAGATCGCATCCGTGTGCATTCGTCCCAACGATTTTCGATATCACTGTCCAGCACGAATTTTAATTTGTAATATCCATTGATAATTCTTATCGAGTTTCCTGAACAGCAATCCGTAATCGAAATTGCTCCATCACCCTCACTGTCCGAATAATATGAATTTACTTGAAAACGCACGATTTTCGATAAATGAAGTATTACATAAAAATTAAAAACGTTAGGAGGTTCATTCTTGTACTAAAAGTGAGATTAGAGTATCCCGAGTTTATCAATATTCATAATTCTAATTATGCGTGTTTTTGAATAATTATAATTGGAAATCGAAATTTAAAAATAGACTGCCAAGCGTATTTTGTATACACTATTCTTTTTTAGAAGACCTTTATCTGACACGAATTTGCTGCACAGTATTGTCTCGTGTAAGCTTCTCTGGAAACACAGCCATTGAACAGAAATGTCGAAACAATTTTCAATTCGATTCGATAGAGAAAATATTCGTGGGTAACGCATATAAGGGGTTTTATCGCCAGGCGGCCATTGCTCGCTTCTCTAGCCTCGACAGTGCCGTAGCTACGCGTAACCCGAGTACCAAATGTAATGGAGTTAACATATAACAGTCTAGGGAAAAAAGAATATAATATTGCTATAAAATTTCAGAAAATAAATAGAAAATATCTTAAACTCGAAGCATAGCTCTTAGCTTGGTATCGTTTCCCAAAAATTATTCTTTGGAAAACGATACCAATTACCAGGTCTCACCACGAGGAGGTGGCTACGCATCGAGACCCGACATGCGCCCTAGTGGCACAGCCTGCTGGCGCTACCTGTGTCAAAGGCACGCTAATCTAACTTGGAGCGAAAGAAGTTAAAGAGAATCTACAGACACTTTATTATATTTCGTGTCTTACAAAGGGTACTTCGATTCGATATACTACAACTCTACTGTCGCAACGCTAAAATATTGCATTTTAACAAACTCTAATATTTCTAAGTTCCCATAAAAATAGGGAATGAAATATCAAACACGCGAGCAAATTAAAAATCGCGATCGCGCCCGAACTAGTTCGCGATTATTCAAAAGACCGACTAGCCTACGAGATGTACTCTCGTGTACAAGACAAATTCATGCCTCGGCACCCTCCCGATTGGGCCTAGCTCAATTCCAGTCACTGTCACACTCGCCAAGACTTACACGTGGACCAAGGATAGTCCCTAAATCAATGAAACTTCTAGTGTCAACGCGAGGGCCCTGCTGGGCGGTTGCCGGCCAAGACAGACACTTCGCATCCCAGCCACACGGGGTAGAACTTAATCATCCCTGTGGTCTAACCGTAGATGGTACTAGTCCGTCAGCCAGCATGTGCCCGAGCCCAAGTCGCGTACGACTTAGGCAGCGGACCGCCTCGTCGAGGTCAGAAGACGCACTGATTCGAGGGGGTCACCCTGGAACCCGATGCATGACGAGATTGACAGTGACTGGAAATGAGTGTCGGAGACGAGTCGTGAGGATGACTTACGAAGCATGTAC